AACTATTTGGAGTTGCAGACAGCTTGATTTATCCCAGCTCTGTTCTTAAATGGTTGCTAATTTCTCACTGCAAGAAAATTCACAGTTTTTCAGTGAGTCAGCTTAATAACGAGATCAGGTCAGACAGTCTAGCTAATACTAAACTCACTCTTTAGGTTCTTAGTCGTAATACAGTAATACTGTAAATCCTGGAGTTGTCTCATGAGGTGGAGTGAAACGTTTTCTCTTTCAGACTACAAGTTGAGACAACTAGCGTATTACAGACTCCAGGAAAGGTCACGGCCGTGCTGCTGTGTACCATGTCCTTCCCTCGCTGCAGTCACGCAGCAAAAGCCAAACCCAGATGTTTTGGGCCCCTGGAGGCATGGCCACAGCAGTGCTCAGGGCCTCTGACTCCCAGACTCTCACACCTCGATGGCTGGCGTGAGTCTGTTTTGGTAAGTGGACCTACTCGGCTGGATGAGCTCTTTTTCTCTTAATTTATTTTCTGTTTTTATAAACAGAATGGAAATGGTAGGGAGGCTACCATGAGTCTGTATCTGCTCTTGTGTCTGTGCCGCTGTCCTGAGGTCTGAGGCGTTGAGGGATGGAGGCCGCCGGAGCCTGTGGCTGAAGCAGAAGTTACCCCCCTTCCAGAGAGGACAGTAACGTTGCTCTGTCCTGGGGACCACATGGTGCCTCCCACTTCCTGCCTGAGTCATCTTGCCGTCCCCTTCCTGTGCAGTCACTGACTGGCACGTGAGCCCAGCACCCTGCCTGTGGGGACCCGAGCCTCCTGCGCTGGCCGTGTTGAGCCCCTGGCGCCCTCTGAGCTGAAGCGCACCCAGCGTGGTTTCTCTCAACGCACAGCTCCTGGGCGGCGCTGGCTTATGTGTTTTTATGTCTCGCCTGTGCTCATGTGCACTGTATGTTTCTATGGAGTTTATAAAAGGTAGTTTCTCCTGAAACTCAGTGCACATTTAATCAGGTAGTTTCTGTGTAGGTACAAATGGCACTGGGAAGATGGCTGGCTACTGGGTTTACTAATTAGAGTGGCAGGGACTTGGAGAAGAGTCCATTTTGAGACTGGTCTTTGGCTCAGAGCCCAGTGAAGGCTCATCGGAACGGCAAGTTGATATTTCAGAGGCTGGCAGCATTATGCATTGATGACTAGACAGCTTGTCATCCTGGGCCACAGAAGTAGCAACTGGTTTAAGGTTTGGCCAGACTTCATGTTCTCCATTCTTTCCATCCCATGTTATACAGAATGCACACAATGCCGTATAATTACTTCAGTCCCTTTCTTAAAGGAAAAAGACGCTGGACCAAGACTCCAGAGGTACTGGTGGATTGAAGTTGCAATTACTCAGTAATTTTCTTTGCAGACTTAGTAGCTGTAAAGATCTCTCTTGTATTTTTGCAGTACTAGTTAATTTCAAGTGCAGCTTTGGTGGGCCAGCCAGGGGTCTCAGGCTGCCTGTAATGAGTGGTATTTTTAAGGCCATCATCTCGGTGACACTTTTTCTAAGTCAAAAAATTCAACAGGATCCAGCCTTTGTTTGGATTGTATACTCAGTAAAACGCTCAGCCTTTGTGGGAATGCCAGCTGTTCTTGCTCACAAAATAAGTTGTCTGTGCCTATTACTGTGCTTATTAAGCACAGGCTCGGGAATATAGGCGTTCTACCTTTGCCACTGTTTCCTTGTGGATGAGAAAGAGGCAGTCGAGTCCTCCTCTTGAGGAAGGTGGCCGATGGAAGTGTAGGACATGCGGGGTTTGCCACAGACAGTGGCCCTTGCTGGGAGCTCTGTGATGTCCCATGCTACTTGGCCCAGTAGCCGCTGGCCACGTGTGTCTGCTGAGCACCTGAGGAGTGGCCAGTCCAAGCTGAGATATGCCCTACGTGTAACATTCACACCAGCTTGCTAGGCTTCATATAAAAAGAGAATATAAAGTATCTCATTAATAATTGTTTATATTATTTCATGTTGAATTGATAATATTTTGGTTTGATTGGGTTAAATTAAATATATTAGTAAAATGAATTATACTTACCATTTTTTTACTTTTTAGAATGTGAGTATTAGAAATTTTAAAATTGTGAGTGTGGCTCTCCTTGTCTCAGACATCTTGCCCTGGACGCACAGGCTCTATGAGCCGGCACAGGTCCTGGGCCTGGCCTCCCTTGGGTGTGTGAGTGGCCTCAATCCCTGGTGAGGGCCTTTTTGCCATTTTTTAAGAGAGGTGTGCGATTTCTCTCAGTGTCCTGGTCATGTGACATCTGTTGTCTGTGCGATGGTCATGTCAAGGCCACACTGAGAGCTGGACCCCAGGCACTAGGGGACTTGGGCAAGTCACCCACCCCACTCTGCCTCGTTTGTGAAGCAGAGTTAGTCTGAGGCTTAACAGAGAACAGTTAGGGCACATGAACTGGGCAAGGAGAAAACAGAAATGAAACTGCATGTATGTATAGCTTAATGCCCAATTTTACTTTTCTGCGAGAGTGTGCACGCTGGGATAGAAGAAAGCAGATGGAAAGCACCATGATATGAGTAGCAGTGCTTGCCCGACAGGCGCTGGTGTGGTTTTGGGTCCTGGAGGACTTTCATTTTCTTCTTCAAGTTGTTCCCCTGATTTTCTGCAGGCATTGTTCCCATCAGAACAAAAGGAGGCGGTTAATGATCTGCACTAAAGGAGCAGATGAGCTGCCTTGCTGAAAGCCCGTCTCCCCCATCAGCACGTGCACAAACGGTGATTGCTCGTAGTTCGGAGCCTGGTGTACTAAAAGACAGTTCAATTGGAAATAGACTTGACCACTCTGTGATTGACAAGGACGTGGAGTTGCAGAGAGAGCCACAGGGGTCTGATTACTCAACGCAGGAGAGAGCCTCCTTGTGTGTGCACACTGGGTGTAGGTGTGTGGCAAAGGCCAGTCTTCCAGGGGACATCTTGTGCGAGTTCCTGGTGGAACAGCCTTACTATCACACTACAAATGGAGGCAAATTAGGAAGGAATGGTTGACCAGAGAAGACAGCGTGGAAGGACCTGCCTAACGTGTGGTGAGCAGTGACTTGATTATGCTGTCTGGGCCTCAGCCATATGAGATCATAGAAATGAGAGATGGAAGGGACCTCCTGTATTAGGTCATCCAGCCTGTCCCCTCCAGAGCCGACTGACCCCACAGTATACTTTCCAGAGCTCCATCCAGTTTTTCAAGTGACTCAACTGATGGAGTTTCCACCAGCTCCCAGAGGGTGCAGAAAGGTGGTGTCTGAGGCTGCTAGCTTGGGTCAGGGTTTATTCTTCCGTCTCTTGACGAAGATCCCCATGATGATGCTGTGTTTGCAGAAGGATGTGGGGTAAGTCCTGCCGGTCACTGACGTGCGTGTGACTGTGGGTGACCTCAGCTCTCCTCATCTCTGTGTCCCCTCCACAACGCAGGGTGCGGTGCTGAACTCCTTCGGTCTGAGTGCTCTGAGACTTGGCGGTGGCACCTTCCGTAGCACTTTATAGTTTTCACAGCTTGTTCCCATTTGTGATCTCACTTAAGCCTCACCATTCCTGGGGAAGCAGTCCATCTTATGATCCTCCTGGCCCCTCCCTGCCTTTATTCTGTTTCTTGTTAACCAGACGGAGCAGCTGTCCCAGGCAGTGGGTGGTGGGCCACGTGGTCAGGCACTCCTGATTCTGAACGCAGAGCTAGCTGCTGCACTGGACTGCACGGGTCCTGTCTTGCCTTCTGAGACACCACACAGGGTGCAGTTTACTCTCCTTGCGGCGTGGCTTTCTTTCCCAGGCAGTGGCACTGCTCCGGATTGTCCCACACCACCTGTGAAAGCCAGAGCCTTCTCACCTGTGTCACCTGGTGGGTCCTGGGGGAGATCTCAGTGCAGACTCGGGGCCTCTGAGGTGGTCATCCAGGCTGTTCACTGCTGACCTTCACCCCGTGTGACAGAGGACTTTGAACAGGTCTGTAGGCAGGTTGATCCACCAGGAGTTAGTAAATGGGGCGCCCAGAGCTCCTCTTGATGATTCAGATTCTGCGGTTCCTTTTTCTTGGCCTAACTAATGATCTGAAACTTTCCCTAAAAGAGGCATTAACATTTATTGCAAGTAGTTGGTCATTAAGATTTCTCTTAAAATTATTCCTTTTTGTTGTAAGCTTGAGAATATTAAATTTTTAAACCTAGGCTCAGTAAGTTTGTAGTTAAAGTACATTTCACAATGCAGTTAGTCTCAATAGAATTGTAATAAACAGCTGCTCTCGGTCGTTTATGAAACGAGATGAAGTATGACATGAGTCACAAGTCAGGGGCTGCCATCCCGCCTGCTTGGCTTCCTCGGTTTGGCCTTGCTGCAGCAGCCCTCCCCCCCGCGGGCGCCGTCCTCCCTGTGGCGTTGCTGTGGTCTGTGGTGTCTCTGTGCCTTCAACGTGTCCACGCCTGGAGCCCCAGGGTCCCGCGGCAGGGCTGTCTCCAGCGGTGCTCTGTGGGCCGTGGCCTGTTGGGGAACTGCCCATCACCTTGGATTCTTCTGCTGTGTTTTGTCCTGCGTTTCATATTTGTATGTGAAGTATTTCAAACACATAGGCAGGAAAAGACTGGACTCAGATCCTTGGTTCTGCCTGTGCCAGCCATCCCGCTGCTGCTTGCATGTGGGAACGTCCCCAGCAAAGCTGTCGGTGAAGCAGAGCAAACTGGGTTGGAAACAGCAGGGCCGCGGGGCGGGAGGGGGGGGAGGGTGTGTCGGGGGGGCGTGGTCAGTCTCCCTGCCCGTGGCCTGGAGCAGGGCCAGAGGGCAAACGCCTCCTCTCCCAGCAGCTCTGCCTGGCTCCAGATAGCGCCAGGAAGAGGCAGAGCCAAGACCCAAACCAGGGCCGGAGCTTCGGCCTCTGGCTCGGCATTCACCATCCCCTTGACTCACAAAATTTCTTACGTATTGTAAAAATGATGAAAAGAAATATCTATTTTTGAGAATTTAGGAAAAGGAAGCCCCTCCTGTCATGTGTGCTTTTCCCGCAGATCCTGAGGAAGCTGAAGGGTCTTGCCTTGGATGCCGAGACGGAGCTGGAGAGACAGGACGAGGCCCTGGATGGCATCGCCACGGCCGTGGACCGGACAACGTTAACCATCAACAAGCATAATCGACGAATGAAAAAACTGACCTAGCTGGACAAGAAAGTCCAGAAGCACCTGCTCTTGACCAGCGTCTCTTCCCTCAGCACCTTGTTCTCAGCCTCGCGTGCTTCCTCGAGATGCAGACCCCAGGAGGTCGCTCGGAGGCCACCCAGGAGGCGCACAGCTGCCTCTGGAGGAAGGGCTGCTGTGCAGCCTATGGCACAGTGATCATGGCTGCCCCCGAGGGTCCCCTGAGGAGCTGAAGGAGCAGCCGCAGGAGAGGGGAACTGCTGCAGACACAGCGAACCGTCCCCGTGGCCTCGCAGGCTGCTTGGGAAAGTTGGGCTCGGGCTCCCGTTCAGACACGGGCGCCCTGCCCAGGCCTCCACAGCACATGGCAGCTCGTCATGTAGAGGGCGTTGCACCCGCGCTCCGCGCCTGCTTTGCATGGCTGTGACCCCCTCTCCAGCATCACCACGAACTGTGTTTGTGTCCTTTCTCCATTCTTGCTAAGCATGAAAGGATAACCTACGCCTCTATGAAAGGGACCTGCTTACTTCTCTCTCTGCCTGTCTGAACACCGCAGGCGTGTCCTGTGTCCGCAGAGTCCCTTCTCCAGGACCACATCCGGGCCGGAGCTGCCTCTCGGCTGCTCAACACAGACCCACCGCCATCGCTTTGTTCCGGTTCCTCTGGTGGACAGGCCAGGTTCTTTCTGGTTGTGTTGACATTTTCTAACTGAAGCTACAAGGCTCATACACCTCGAGGTCATCCTGTAAATACCTGAAATACTCTTTCACTGCCCAGTTCTTAGCCAAACGTGAAAAGAGTACATACTGCGCTTGTTAAAAAAAAGTCTTGATTTTTGCTTTTACTGACAAATGATAGTTTCAGGATATTTTTTGAAGATATGCATTACTGCTGCTTTTTGCTTGGTTTTGGGTGTCTTAGTGGGTCCCTGGAGGGCCCCTGGGGGGAGGACAAGGGGAAGGTGAAGTGGGTGACCCCGTCCCTTCTCACAACAGGCCACTCCAGACCGCTTAGAAATGCACAGAGAGGCTGCTCAAACCTGTAGAGGTGTTGTTGGAAGCCCCTTTCCTTCAGCCCTCCTGACACGCCCACAGGCCCTGCACCGCCCTGCTGCACTGCTCCACTTGCGTGCTGAGCCTTGGGTGGTGTTCAGAATGACTGCTCAGGTGCAGTGTTAGTTTTCTGACGCTGCCCTCACAAAGTACACACAACAGGGCTACCACAAGGGGAATGTGCTGTCTCCCAGGGCTGGAGGCCAGAGGTCCAGATCAAGGTGTCAGGGCCGCACACCCTCTGGAGGCTCCAGGGGAGGGTCCTTGCTGCCTCTCCCAGCTCCTGGTTGCCCCCGCGGTCCTGGGCTTGTGGCCACGTCACCCCAATCTCTGCCTCTCTCAGTTGTCATGCAGCTGTCTCCCCGTGTCTCTTGTTTCAAATCTCCCTCTCCTTTCTCTTATAAGGACCCTTGTTGAATTCAGGGCCCACCCTAATCCAGGGTCATCTCATCTCGAGATCCTTAACTACTGACATCTGTAAAGACCCCTTTTCCAAATGAGGTCTCATTTTGAGGTTCAGGGTGGGCGTGAATTTGGGTCACCTAGGGATTCCTGGCCTCATGGAAGCTGACCCGTTCCAAGAAGACATGGCAAGTGATGGTCTTCCACTTCAACTTTTAATTTGACTAGAAAAGAGTCAAATAGAGACTAGACTTAATCCTAGCCTCTATTTGTCTTATTTGGTTTGTACTTACCGACCTCCAAAATGAGAGGAGCCCTGTCCTCTCAAGGCTCCTTACTCTGATGTTCCTTACTCTCCTGACCATTCCAGGCACACTGAGGGATGGAACTTAGGCCTGTCCTCGGGGTCTGAGCCCCGTGCAGACCCTTGCCCTTGTGCTCGATGCTGGGAAGGGGGCACGGAGGGCACAACAGATGTGTAGATGTGTCAACAAGGACAGTTATTGATAGCTCCTGCTGTGCCCGGAGGTGGTGGCAGCTGGACTGTGTCCTCGTGGACCTTGGAGCAACACTGGGGGAAAGGCAGCCCATGCCCTGAGCACAGGGCGCGTGAGGTGGGCAGGCCGTGCCCAGACGTTGCAGCTTCCATGAGAGCCCACGAGGCTCTCGCCCATGGCCACACACTGAACTCAAGCGCAGGACTCAAGAAATACACATGCACATGCATGCTGGGTTCACCCAGCAGAAAACACACACACGCTCACACACACTGACCCCAGCCCCTCAGTCAGAATCTGCGGGGTTTACACGTTCCCCAAGTGTTTCTAATGAGTAGCAGGGTGAGAGCCACAGGCCAGGTGCCTTTCTGCCATCAGACCTGCTCTCTCCACACCAGGCTCTGGAGAGCCCTGAGCAGCTGACAGGAAAGCAAACCTGCCCTACCTTGATGCTGCTCTGAAACCCAGGAGGCCCTGCTCATGAGTTCCCAGCTCAGCCTGCAGCAGCTGCCCAGCATGTGCATGTCCTGAACACGGGCACTGGCCAGGGCCTGCGTGGCATCAGGGCTGCACGCACCGCGGCTATGGACAGGCCTCTGCCAGTGACCCCTCGCTGTGAGCAAGCCCTAGCTATCCAGCCTCACTCTCCTTTTCTCTCACCTGGGAATGGTAAATCTCAGACACTGGCTGAGAAGGTCGTAGTGCTGAAGACACTGTCCTGTCAGAGGATTCTCCTGCAGGTCTGTCCTCAAATAATTACGCTGCTAGAGACACTATGCTCCTTATGTGGAGACATGCAAGGAGTGTAAAAATAAAAAAGCCACCTAGGCCCATTTTATGCTATTGTTTTAACCTTAGTCTCAGAGTTAACTTTTTTTACCTTAGACCCTTGCAGCAGCAGACAATCCACCTGCAAAACTGAGTTGGAGACTGAACTCCAAAAGCACTAGGCTGAGGTGAAATTGCTAAGAACCCTATAAAACCAGCACCAACTTGCCCCAACACTACACCCCACACCCCCAGTGCACTAACTCTGCGCCCACCCCAGGTGCACAGACTCCACCCCGCTGCTACCACACAAGTCCACTAACTCCACCCCCACTTCTCCCCACCCCAAGTGCATCAACCCCCGCTAGTGCCCCCCCACCTAACAGTTCACTCTTCTGTCACCATCTAGAAACTTGGAACAGCAGTGGGTATGTTGATGAGGCCATTTTCCCTGATCTATTTTGATTGATAGCGAAAAGCTACATGGCTGGTGCTCCTGCTCATCTGATGACAAGGGCGGTCCTGCTTCCCAGAAGGCCTGGGTCTCCTCCCTCAGCATCCTCATCAAGAAGCAGGCCAGCAAGGCACAGTGGGGAAAGCATCAATTCACAGATGCCTGGAGCTTCTCACCTCAAAGTTCCCAGCACTGGAGAGCCACGCAGGGGCCACGTGCACTGTGGATGTGGAGGAGGGTCAGGGCCTCAGCAGCCTCCCAGGATGTCCACAGACAGCCTGAGGCTACCCTCCTTGCGGCCTCTTCATCCACACATTCAGGCTGCCCCCACCCGCAGTGGCTGTTCTCTTCCCACGGCTGGCCCATGGAGCTGGTGCCAGGTTAGGGAGGGGCTGGGGGCAGATACCCTGGGAAGTGGGGGGCAGCCATCAGCACAGCTCCCGTACCATGGAAGGTGAGGACCAGCAGAGAACGCACAGCCTCAGGAAGTCCCTTGGACACAGCTGTTTGGACCTTGGGCTGTGTTTTCCAATGGAAGTGTTGCTCTGGAGGGCAGTTTGGGTCCGAATGTGGTGGTGGCAGCGTTGAGATGCACCGCTTGGCAATGAAGGGGATTAGGAATGAAAGTGATGGGGTGGGTCAGAGGGCAAGCCCGGGTCCCCATTTCCAAGTGCCTAGTGAGTGCTTATCTGAATCCAATTATCCTGCGTGCAGCCTTGCTCCCAGCGCTCACAGAGGTCCCCAGAGAAGGGTCTGTGTACCCTCCTACAGTCAAGGGAACGGACATTTGCACCCGCTCCTGCCACAGTGGTGCTGTCCTCTCCACACATGGGATCCCGACTGCCCCGAAAGCAAGCCCGCAGGAAGGACGGCATGGGGAGAAGGAGAAGTGTCTCAGGTCTTGGAGTGTGGCCCGGAGGAGCCAGGGCTGCTCAGGGTGCAGATATCGGGGCGGCTACGGATCCAAACCCACCGTTTATGCCCCAGCTCATAGAAAACTGGTCTCCTTTTGGAGGCACTAGCTGTCTGCTAAACTCAAAGAAAGACACCACCGCATCCTGTCCAAGCCCGCTCTGACCCCTGGGTCCTGCGAAGTAAGTGCTCTGCGCTCCTGGCCTGAGGCTGCTCACAGCTCCACCCACTCCTGCCTGCTCAGCTCTCCCTTGTTACACTACCCAGCACAGGAATGTCAGCATGGGTCAGGTGTCCCATCACCCACCCCTTGCTGTCCACAGACCTCACAGCATCAGTGGGGTCTCCCCACCATCTGGCCATCACCTGGCCCCTCACTCTCACCAGACCTCACAGCATGAGGTGGGGTCTGCCCATCACCTGGCCTGGCTACAAACTATACAGGAGAGCAGACAGAGGTGTGTGATTTTCTTGGGGCAGCCATAACCAAGTACCACAAGCTATCTTGAAACAACAGAATTTATGCTCTTTTGGTTCTGGAGGCTAGAATTCTGAAATCAGGATTCTCCTCTCAGAAGCTCTAGAGGAGACTCCTTCCTACCACTCCACCTTCTGGTGGCCTGAGTGACATCTCTCCTTCTCTGCTGCATCTTCGCATTGCCTCCTGCTCTTCTGTGTGTCTTCTGTGTGTCTATCTCAAAATTCCCTCTGCTTCTCTCCTATAAGGACCCTTTTCAGTGGATTTGGCACTCACCAGAAAATCTCGCATGATCTACTCATCTCAGGATCCTTAACCTAATTGCATCTACAGAGACACTTTTTCCAAGTAGGGTCATATTTACAGGTTCCTGGAATTAGGACCTGGACATATCTTTTTGGGGGCAACAATTCAGCCTATTATAGTCTGCCCTCTATTCCTCCCAAATTCATATCCATCCCCCACAAAAAATATTGTCACTTTATCCCAACATCTCCAAAAGCAACCCATTACACTTC